AGCCAAAAAAATGATGAAGACTGTATTGCCTTCATCTACATTGCTTGAATCTTTGTCTGTGTGAGGGCCTTCCCACCTCTCTTTGATGTAGGTCTTTATGAGTCATTTCCAATGAGGATCAGTGCATATTTAAGAACTGCAACCTCAAGAACAATGAAAGACTGGGTTCATGCTTACTGTCTATGGTGAGCCACTTACCTTTTAGCATGTCCAGTGGGCATTCCCTGGACCTGAGACCTTTGCTTAGCCACTACCACCTGGATTTTTATCTTTAGCTAGGAGCCCATTTCACCCTTGCTGCTTAGTATCTGGCAAAACAGGGACATAAACAGTGGAGAGCTGCTGCACATGTGTGAGGGGAAGGGCAAACAGGAGAGGACCTCTTAATCTACAAAAGTCCACAGTTTTTCCTGCATTTCTGCATCCAGTAAGTATCCATGAAGGCCTGTGCCATGCTCTTTTTTCCTGGCCAGCCTTTGGATAATCTTGTCCATCCACTGATGACCCCATTGTTTGGTTTCTAGTAAACAAGGATCTCCACAACTGCTTGTGGACTTAAACTCTCTGCCAACTATTGGAAAACCCCTCCACCTTACCTGTCCTCCTTGTCACCCAGGAACCATACAAAATGTCAGGTGACTGGATGGTAAGTGTGGCTCAGTCCTCTCAGCAAGGGTGAATATGGCATCCTTTCCAAGAATCAAGTGTTCTTAGCCATAGCCAATGAGCCCATGAAGAATGTGGGACGTTTGCTAGCTCCTTTCACCCACCTGAGCATGACCAGGTGACTTGGTGCTCTGTGCGGCACTAGGAAGGAAAAGAAGGTGTTTCTCATCATTAGGGTTTATCTACATCCATCTGCCTACATCTCACTCCAACATCCGTTCTCTCTCTCTCTCTTCCTTTCCCTTTCTCTCTCTCTCTTTTTAAGACACTGGAGTCCGCAAACATGAAACAAAACAACTAGAAAAGGAGACTTTCTAATTTGCTTCTCCTCTGGATTGTATTCAGAGGGAGAGAGGGAGGTTGTCCAGTAATGTAGACTACCAGAGCTCTCTGACCCTCTAGAAAGTTCAAAGGAGACAGACCCAGGACTATGGAATTGGATTGAGATGGTCATGAGTCCCATGGGACAGGGATGGTTAATTGCCTAATTGTGTGCAGTGTTCCTTTGGGCTAATCCTATCCTCAGTACTAATCCCCACTCCCACTCCTTCCTAAGCATTAGCCTGGAGGGAAAGGAGAAGAATTTTATGGGAATGTGATTCTATTAGGAGCTCAAATAAATTCTTTTAAATGATCTAAAACTAAAATACCTAAAACTGAAATAAAGTGAATAAGAGAAGTGAATGCATTGCTCTAAGAAATTGATTTACACCATCTTTATTTCTGGAATAATGTGAGGATCTTGGTTATAAAGTGTTGAGAAAACATATACTGAGATAGGGGAATTCTTTAAAGTTTGATAAAAGCAGCTGTAGTCATATGTAAGGCAGGCTGTTGTACGTAATATTTTTGGTACTTAAAAGCCTCTTCTAAATTCACAAAAAAATGTAAGGTTTTTCAGACATTTGCATAAACTTTACCTTTCTCCCATCTCCATGCTTAGTTTAACCATCTTCATTCTTATCAAATGCTATTTAAGAACAGGTGGGATATGGTGAAAGTAAATGAGATGGACTATTTTAGATTGTGTCTGTTGTATTTAAAACTATGTAAAAACACTGAGGCAGTTATAAAGGGATTCAGAACGTAGTCAACTTTTCGGACAGTTCTTTTGTAGTCCGTTTACAATGTCCACTTTTTTCACTTTGGTTTGACTCAAGGGAATTACCCCAAGAGCAATTGGAATTGATGTATACTTCTTGCACTTTCCCTGCTCCTCATGAAGCAAAGTTGACTAATTACTTTTTGAAGGGATCCACTAAAATTTCCACATATGCTTAATTTTGCTAAACTTGTATGTAGCTGCCTTAGACCAAGGGAGAAGAGAGAAATACGGAGTGTTCGTGGAAAGCTGCATTACTAATGCAGCAGTGTTTCTGCCAAGATTTTCAGGTTAAGATGCTGAATATATCTGGAAAGAAAGAAAAATATCACACAGATGTACTACTTAAACTTTACAGGCATCTGGGTATTTGAAAATTTCTGAGTGATTACCTATTCATTCATGTTCTCATTTATGCTATTTACCAAATATTTCTGACTCCTCTCTGGGTACAAGGTAGTTTGCATTTTCCCACTCCCTTTACGTTAAGCATGGCCATATAACTTGCTTTGGTGAATGAATGGTGAGAAGAAGCTATACATGTCGCATCTGGGAGGAAGCTTTATGAGCTGCTGTGCTATTAGTCAGAACCTCTTTCCCTCTACCGTGGTAACTAGCTCCAGATGTGGTGGCTATATTAGCCTTGTTCCTGGAGTGACGAGATGTGGAGTTTCTTCCCTCCACTCCAATCTTTTGACCTTCAGGAATATGTAGCATGAATGAGAAATAAATTTTGTTGTTTTAGTGCATTAAGATTTGGAGGTTCTATTGTTACTGCAGCATAATCTAGCTTAGCCTATGAAAACCACATCTCTTAGGTTTTCCCTTTTTTCAGTAGGTTGAGTGTCTGTGCATAACTGTGAGAATTCCACATGCTAGTATGTGTCATTGTTTTTTTGATGTCTATTTCTTGCCTAGATTCTTGGTTCTACTTTTTCTGATAGCTAACCAAATGCTAGATAGAAACCAAATGCTATAAAATCTTACATGATTATGCATTTATTTCAATGTGAATTTTTTACATTTACATTGTGCACGTATTTATTTTGTACTTCATTTATGTGTTATATCATTTGGTAACATATTGGTCCATCTTTTCCATGCTATTACATGACATACTTCTAAGGAGAAAGTGCAACATACAACTAATCTTTAGTGGAACTCAATGAATTTTTTTCTAAAAAGGTAATAGAGATGATGAGAAGGATAAAGATGATAATGATGGTGATGATAGAGATTCCGGGAAGTGCTTCAGGAACATGTGTGTACAGAGTGACTGCAAAGCATTTCAATTTGTGCAAGCAATTTACTGCCCATGTGTTCCGATATCTGAAAATCAGAAATCAATTTCAAAGTATATAACTAACAGCATTCTAGATTTTAAAATTGTATGGAAATGCAAAAGGATGGCATAATGTGAGGATTAGCAAAGGACATTGTGTTATTAGGAGGAAGATGGTAGGTGGCCACACTTGAGATGTTTGTTGTTTGCTGAGAGTCTTTCTCAGTGAGAATTCTTTCCAGGAAGTATATTTTAGTCTTTGGAATAAAACCATTGCCAACTCACATTGCATTGCCTTTCTATTCTTACATATAATTTTGTTTCCATTTTTATAGCATCAGAAAACAGATCTTCAAGTGAAAATTTTGAATGTAATAATAGGTCAATAGAATCATTTTTGATGCATATTTCCTGATAATCAAGTGACAAGTTCGGCAGTCATAGTCCCATGAGCTTCTTAAGTGTTGTTATAATATTCCTTAAATTGTGCTCAAAGAATTTTATGATGTCTTTTTAATATTATAGTGTTAGAATGCATTCACATGAAATTTAATTACTTATATTAAATTTTAATAGACTATTTTATAATTCTCGATATATTTATGATCGAAGTATCTCCAGTCATTGAGGCATTTTTTTTCTAAACATATCTACATAGCACACAGATCTACCTGGTGCTTATGAAATGAATGGTGAAAATAGGCAAGTAATTAGAATGACTGCTGTTGTAATCCTGGTTAACATAGACGATTAACTTATTTATTCTTTTGGTAAATATTTATTAAATAGCTATATTTTAGACACCAGGCTAAACACTATGAATACCTAGATGAAAAAGACATGGTTCCATTTGTAAAGAGCTCACATCACAGCTGGGACACATAGTGATTATATAGATACATATTGATTATAGCCTGTGATGAATATCATAGCAAATAAATGTGGAAAGTGCTGTTGAAACAGAATAGTGGAAGTGATAAGTTCTTTTACTAAGGATTAATGGATGGATCATGGAGGGCTTCACAGAAAAGGTGACATTGGAAGTGGGCATTTAACACAAAATTTCATCACTTTGGTCTAATTAATAATATTAGAGCTATTGAGGATTTTACCACCATATCTATTGGATAATTAGGAAACTTTTCTCAGGAAATAAGTTTTATGCCTTTTATGCCATGTTCTATGCTTTGGAAATTTGGGGGTTTTAATGTGGGTTAAATATTTAAAATATTTAACAATAGCAATGGATATTCAGAATAGATGCTGACAACAGAGTCTGGAAAAACCCCTAAAATGCCCATTAACTCTTTAATTGTATGCTTATGGGTGGGTTTCTACACCTCAATTTTTTATCTCTCAAATATAACTAATACTAGTTTCTTTCATTTAGGATATTTGTGAAGATAAAATGAGATAATGTACATAAAGTGGTTGACAGAATTCATGATACAGAGTATGAATGCAAGAAATATTAGGTATTGTAATTATTCAGTAAGAATGGGCCTGACAACAAATTACAGCTATATCTGAAAGGGTGGAGCAATTGGCAAGGTGGAAAAATTGGGAAAAAATGCTTTCCAGGGAAGGACTATTTGAAAGTTTGAAGGAGACCAGAGGGTGGCTTTGTAAAATGCCATTATTTGGAAATTTTCTAGGCGAAATACTGACAGTTCTATTTTTGTGGGGGATAATTATTTTATATTACAGTTGCTCCTAATTTCAGTGATCATCTATGGTGATAATGTTAATGAACAGCCCTGGAGTGAGATGTCAGTATTTGACTGTGGCTGTTTGCAAACTCAACTGTGATTACACACAGTTGTCTAATTGCTTAATTTATTGATATTTTGCTGACATGTTTTTCAGCAACATTTGTGATTGCAGATAACTAATCATTTCTCTTCTAGCTCATTATCATACGTTTGCATTTGATTTGTCTGATTGCTGCAGGTGGAAACAATAGGTGACGCATACTGCGTTGCAGCGGGGCTCCACAGAAAAAGCCTCTGCCATGCTAAACCCATTGCTCTGATGGCCTTGAAGATGATGGAACTTTCAGAAGAGGTGCTGACACCCGATGGAAGACCAATTCAGGTAACCCTTTCAACAAGGCAGTTTGAACAGGAAGTATACCATTAACTGAAGGGGGCAAGAAATTCCCTTCTGAATTCTGCCTATTTTGATTTATAGATCTAGACAGTTTGGGCGCTTATGGAGGACAAGGAAAGACTAGAGGTAACTTATAAATACAGGAAAAGAACAAATGTATAATAATATGGCCCAAAATAGGAAAAAGTGTGTGGAAGGAAAATTACTGTGGAGAAAAGAAAGAGCTAGTAGCTCTTCTGGATCTCTGAATCCTTGTGTATGATAGCCCTTTGACTGAATCCAAACTTCGTAGAACAAATCCCGTTATTAAAAGGATTTGTTCTATAAAATTTGGATTCGGTTGAGGGGCCGCACTTGGAGATCTATCTGGAGGGCCACATGTGGCTTTGAGGCTGTAGATTCCCCACCCCTGGAAGGGGAAGAACTTACTGTTAGTGACCAAGTCACCAAATCTAAGCAAGGATGATGGTGAGATTCAGGGTCTGAGAGGTAATCCAAGAAGTAAAATCAATGAAGCAAGAAAATGGAGGATCTGGACAACTTCCTGTGGGTAGTGCACAGGTGTTCCTTATAAAGCCTCAGACCTCAGAGTTACTTCTGCAGTTTTTCTTGTGGCAGAGCTTGAAGGTTAGAGTTGAATAACTTAGAGAACTTTAAATACAATGGAAAATCAGCTCCTGGTATGTTGTACTCTTTTTGGTACTGATGGTTCTCTGCAATCTGGGGTCTACCTGGTGAGAATACGAATGGTACAGTTCACTTGGCATTAACTAGTAAAGTTTAACTTGTGTATATCCTACAACCCAGCAATTTCTCCCCCAGATGTTTGCACAAATACAAACGGGGTACTTGTGCGTGTGTAGCAAAAGTCACAAGTGATTATTCACAGCATTACTATTCATAATAGCCTCAAACTGGACATAACTCAAATGTCTATCATTATAGTAGAGTGATAAATTGTATTTATACCTCGGTATAGCATACAGTTGGGAAAATGAATGACTTTAGCTACTGATGTCAACAAGGATGAATGTCAGAAACATAATATGAAGCAAAAGAAGGAAATCAAAGAAGAATGCTGTAGAATTATTTCATTTAATTGAAGTTCAAAACTGGAAAAACTGAAAAAAAACATGCTGTTTAGAAATGCCTGCATTGATGGAAAAAACATTAATGGAAAGAAAGAGAACGATTAACACAAAATTCAAGGGAATGAAAGATGATGGGGAAGGAGGAGGATGTAATAGGGAAAGTGAACATATTGTAAAACTTTTCATGTTATTACTATTTTTAATGTGTACATATATGTTTATATTTGACAATTTAAAAGTGGAAAGAAAGTTTTCTAACCACTTCCACCAGTGAGGAAATTAGGGAAGTATGGAGTGTTAAAAAGAAAAAAAAAAATCTAGTTTAAGTCCCCTCAGGGCATAATTACTGAATTATTCAAATATTTCAATGGCATTTCTGCCACTTCCAGGAAAACAAACAAAAGGAATACTGTCTCAGATCTGCTGCAAACTGCAGATATACATATTCCAGATTAAACTCCTATCAGTTCTTAAATTTTCAAGCCTGCCAGTTGGGAAGTCTTATCATTTGGAATTGTTTTTAATACTGGATTTTATTTCACAGGAAAGATAATGTTTGTATTGATTCCAGTATTGTCATAGCAAACTGAAATTACCAGAGAACAAAATCAGGGAATTGTGTTTTACAGCGTGCTCATCAATATTTTCATTTGTGGGATATAACATTAGCTCTTTTTTATGAATCAGATAGTCTTATTAAATCAGAAGAGGAAATGTCCATAAAGATTTAATAAGAACACAGAAAGAGAATTCAAAATAATAAACCACCTTAATTATTTTAGCTTCATTCCTAATTTATAGAATTTGCATGGTTTGGCATTCTTTTTTTGGCATATTAATTTGATTTTAAATTGCCTTCTAGCTTGGTGCCATGGTAACATTTCTAAACTTATTGAATCTTTCGTTATAAAATGCTTGGGTGTTGTAGTACTATTGATATGTGATCAGTTGATTGTTTACCTCAAATTACATACTTTTTTAGTCTATTTAAAATGCAAGCTTTTAAAGTTGCAATAATTGCTCAAAACAAAACTCCCCAAGCCTGTCAAAGTTTGAAAAATAAATTGATAATTTTTACATGACTTTGTAAACCTTTGAGGCATCCTGTAATATGGGAAATAGAAACCTGAATAGTCAATTATAATTGCTTGGAAATGATTGCTAATATCCTTGATTCAGTAGTTGTAAAACTGCCTGCATTGTTTTAATTTAAAAAATAACCAGAGGATGTGGCATTTTGTTTATTCAGTATATAAATACTCACACAAATTATTGTTTAATAAGTACTCTAATGAAACTCAGAAGCTAGTTCTAGACTGTATCCAGAAAGCATACACAAGTATGGTCTATCTGTATGGTAAATTCTGAAAAATCAGTCTGCAGTGACTTTAATTAGGATTGCTTTTAAAAAGAGTGATTGGAATGTTTTTTCATATTTGATCATATAATGTTTATTCTGCTGACGGAAAATATGGAAATGCCAGCATTATGACTATTCCTTTTTTATTCCTCCCTAAAGAGAATCTGTTTCTTATATTTTAAATAGACAATTGAAAAGTAAAATCAAATTTATATTTTCTCTCCCTTGTTTGTACTAGCTATATTGTGATTTTACTAGAAAATTGGATAACTTTATGCTGTTCTTTAATCTTGTGAACCTAATCTTTTTGAATAAAGTTTTTAGTGCTGAAAGGCTACATATACTAATAGTTTAATCACTCTTTGATTAAAATAACTGGTCATTTATTGTTATCTGTGCTTGATTCTTAAAAAAAGTGTTGATGGGAAAAGAAAAGTTGGATTGAGGATTGACTAGAGAATGTAATTAGGGATACATTAGAAAGACAAGTAGCATTTTCATGATTTAAACCTTTTATAGAATATTTAGTATGTCCAAATATCTAAGTTTTAATTGTGTACTTCAGTTTTAAAATATATTTTCATTAAATTTTATCTCTTAGGCATACAAATTCAAATTCCCTTCATTAGTTTAGTGAACAGTACCTTTTAAATAATGAGGCAAGTATAGAGAGATTGTGAAATAGACTTAAACAATGTGTAATCATGTAATACTAATGTGTTTCACAATCTCAATTGCAAATCAAGGTAATGCTATGAATTTATACTGACTAGTCCAAAAGCAGGAATATTAATGTACAATTTACATGTATTGTAATACATTAAATTGTAGCTCCTTAAGCTTCAACTTCTAATAAGTTTACAGGATTTTTGAGATTATAAAACAATTATTCTCTAATTAATTTTTAAATAGTTGTTGCTATGTACAAAGGAAACCCAATATTGTTATTTTACTATTTGGAGGAATTTGGTTTTTTCAGATATTGTAATATTTAATTAACACCATGAGATAACAGCCTGGGAATGTATTTAGAAAAAGAAAAACTAATTGCAGTTGGCCCTCTGTATCCATGGGTTCCATGTCCTTGGATTCAGCTGACTGCCAATTGAAAATGTAGGTAGGCCTATGATGGTTGCATGTGTACTGAACATGTACAGACTTTTTTCTTGTCATTATTCCCTAAACAATACAATATAACAATTATTTACATAGCATTCACATTGTATTAGGTATTATAAGTAATCTAGAGATGATTTAAAGTATATGGGAAGATGTTTGTGTTAATAGGTTATATGCAAATACTCCATTCTATAAAAGAGCCACAAGTCTCTTATATTACTTATAATACCTAATACAATGTAAATGCTATGTAAACAGTTGTAAAAAAACCACCTAAGGTGCCAGAAAAGAACTGCATAAGCATTAGAAGAGCTCACTGTTAAGATACTGAGCTCAGTTACCCTCATTTCTAAAGCCTATCAATTAGGCATATTGGAATTCACCTTTAATCTTCTGGGTAATGCATGAAGTGGCAGTTTCATTAAGTTACTGTTTATCGTAGCCATAATACACAAAAATACTATAAAATATCACTGGTGAAAATTAATGGCTAGATATATTTTCTAATACTGTGGTCCCCAACCCCCAGGCCTCGGCCGCTCATCACTGCTTGAGCTCCGCACCACCCTCCCCTCAACCCCCACACCGCACTCCCCTACCCGTGGAAAAATCGTCTTCCATGAAACCAGTCCCCAGTGCCAGAAAGGTTGGGGACCGCCGTATCTAATAGATCTATTCTGTGTACCAATTTATTTGGAACTAGAAATATATTTATGTTTTTAAAAATCAGTACGTTTAAAGTATTTGTTCACTGAGTGTTTACAAGTAAAGTTATAACAGATTCTCTTCAGTAGTTTGTTTCCTTTTAATTATCAGAACTTCATTCTATATACTGTCTTCACATCTATCTTCTGACTAATTCATACTTCCCTCCGTTGCTTGTAGAAGTCTTTGGTAATCCCATCTACTTAATGCATAATGTTGATTATAGCAGTTTATAGTATTTTAAATTTTCATTTATCTGACAGCATTTTTCGTATTGTTTTTATTTCTTGAATTCATCATCCATAATGATTGTAAATTCTTTGCTTGATAATCCCATTCTCTAGAGCCCCTG